GAATATAATCTCATTCGAATTTGCATATTGTACGAGCAAAAATTTTATGATACTTTTGAAGTTTCGCTGCTCGCAAAACCAATGTCTATCACAATCAGTATTCCAAGAATGACTAAAAATAATTTTAATAAGAACAAAATTTAATCGCATAAAGCGAAATTCATAACACTATCATTTACATATTCATTTTGTATTGTTTTGAATGCTCCAAATAAAGCAACTAATTAATAAAACTTAATAATTAGCAATTTGTGATGCATTTATTGAAATATTTAATAGCAATACTGTTAAATGCGGTGCGTCATTATTTAAAAAAAATCCTTTATTTGATTATTTTCGGTCTCAAATGCTTATTTCCATACTCTCTGATCAAGTGATTTCACTTTTGTATGGTAAATTTGGTCACGCCAATTTTATTATATTGAAATATGACACTGAATAAAGTTGATTTCAATCATAAGCACAGATTTTAAAGAGGAATAAATTTTTCAGTGAAAATGCAATAGCTAAATAAAATTTCCATTTTCAATTTGTATTATTTTTTCGTTCGAAAATTGGAAAATTTTATTTTCTTTTAACTTTATAACTTTGTGTTTCCTAAAAAATACTAGTATTTATTTACTTATTTATTTGTTTATATATTTTTTACTGAAATAATCGAAATTAACTAGCATAAAAATCTTATAATCATATTGTAAACATACCAGACATGGTATTTCTTTGTAGCTTAAAATTCGTTATCGACATTGATGTTATTAATAATAAGAAGAGTGAAAAAATATTTCACAGCTATTACTATCAACAAAAATTTAACATTTATCAGTACATTGCTTCCCAGCATTTGTCTCTTCACGTATGAAAATTTCTCTGAAAAATGTTTGTTTTGAAGAAAAATTTTCCATCACAAATTTGAATTTACTGCAATGGGCAAGCAAAGATTGTGAACATTTGCAATTCAAATTGAACTATTTAATTAAGATTTTACGCAATTATTTCTTGAGGAAATTAAGTTTCGATACATATTTGTGTATAATATTGAGTCTTACTGTAAAATGTAATTTGATTGTAAAGGCAAGTAATAACAGATTGTGCAGAGTTAAAAACAAGTATTATCAGTTCTTTGATTGCATTTCTTATGGTATTCACAATATTAAGTAACAAAAATAATTAATATGACATATTTACAAATATTACTCTCAGTAGTTATTACTACTAGTAATATCTAAACCTTGACCTTTCTTAGAAATAGTGTTAATATACCATCTTTATTATATTACATACAATATATTTTATGAAGAATAAGGTCTGTCAAATGCCTTCACAAAATTCATTGCATGCAATCAAATCGTTCAATTGTATAATCAACTGAAATTGGAAACTCGATCGAATATGGCATATTGAAAGGCTACTGATAAGATAATACAATCATCAGTATATCATCTATCAATGAAATAGATGGTAAACGCTAATTCAAAGAAGGATCACAGTTCAGTTTTGTATGGAGCGATTGATACTATTTACATTTATGAATATATTTGGTGTCTGAGTTTAAATTCAGTAAATAAAAATTACTTGTAATTACTTTCATAAAATTAATTAATTTTTATCTCTAATTGCAAATATTTTGCTTTTGTCATAAAATAATAACTGATAGTTTAATGAATGCATTTTCTCAAATTTTTTTCTTTTGAGTTTTGAATAATTGCTATTATTAATTATGTTTTTTATTATTATTGCATTAATCAAAATTAGATTTCCTTTCTTAGCAAAATTAACTTTCATTAAGTAATTCAAATGGAATACGTAAAAGTCAAGCAATAAATTACACAAATTCAATTATCAAAAATTTACAGATATTTAAATAAAAAGTTGGATAAAGTGTAAAATAAGAGGGAAAAGACAAGACTGATTTTAAAAATGTGCTGAAATAAATTTTACTACGACTCAACATTTATTGCCTACTCGATTTTTCATAGATCGATCGATGGATGGATTTTTGATTATCTGTTCTCACCAGTATTTCTTTGATCCATTAATCCAGATCAGTTGCTTTTAAAAGATTCTGTTCTCATCAGTATATCTTTGATCCATCAATTCAGATCAATTGCCTACGAAAGGCTTACTTTCTCAGAAGTATTGCCACAAAATGTCCATCCAATTCATACTTTTTTCATTTTTTTGCATTTTGTGCGTTATAAAATTTGATGCTTCGGGCAATGGAACAAAGAAAGTATGTATTTTTATTTTTTACTCAAATTCAGTTATTTAATTACATTTATTATCGATTATAATTAATTATTTTTGCAATTATTGTGTAGCATTTCACTCTAACGATTGCAGAAACTTTTGCATTTTGTTTACTTTTGAATGAATCAAATAAATACTTCGTCAATACTAAAATCAGTCGTGAAATATGTGAATCTTTTAGTCCACTGATTAAGACACATCAAAGCAATAAGAAAATTATTAATAATAGTGCCAACAATGATAATAATGATAGTAACATTATAATGTAGATGATAATTATCATGTGAACCATATATTATATAATATAAAATGTGGACGTTAGTGTTAATTTTCGCTTTATCGATTCTGGCGCTGGATCGCATTCCGGCACTTTGGCAGTACTTGTCCCGCGCTCAGATTTGTTGTACTCGTCGTTCTTACTTCGTCCTCGTGCAATTCATACGATTATCGAAGGAGACGCTTCCGAGCGTCTTCTTGAGAACTATCGATTGGATGCCTCCCCATGATCAGATATACTGATTTCGTTCGCATAGCTTTTGTGGAAGTTCATACAAACTCATTTCAAGTCATCATATACGGAATTATTCTGGTTCTGCATTTCATCTCCGACCCAAGCTTATTAGCAAGTAGGTCATATTTTCGCTTTTTCTCGGTCTCGACTGCTGTTCACCTGTCCTGACTAGTGATGCCAACCTCAATTAGGATTACTTCACGTCGCTTCTTATCGTGTATCACGACATATTATTAATAACAATATATCTCTAATAATATATGATTCACACCATAATTGTCATTTATTTTGGCTTTTATTAAACTCATACTAGTAAAATAAAATTGATAAAGGCCGTTATTTCTTTAGCTAATGAATTTATTTTTAATTAATGAATGTTATATTTATTGGTAGCAATTAACAATTTCTACATAAAGAACAAAATCTGAACAAATCATCTCAAAATATTTTTTACTTTTGTGTTTATTATTTGACATTTTAACACAAAATTTAATGCAGTCTTTGTTTTATTAATAACTTTGTTGCAATTATTAATTTAATTTTTCAGGGGATGAATGGTACAGTACATTTCCCAATCACAATAGATGCAATAAATAGTTTATTAAGACCATTTGCAAACAATGCTCTTAATGTTACATTTCAGGTTCTTGACTTTATTTTTCTTTAAATTTAATTTATTTAAAAGTTCAGAGGTCAACACAGAAACACAAATTTGTTCTTTATCCCTCTTTATTTTTCTCACTTACACAAAGCTAAAGGAAAGCACAAAAATTCATCAAGAAATTATTGTTTGCTCGAATATATTTTATGCTTTCTCATATGTTTTTTTTCTTTCAAAATAGTCAGGAATTTATATATTTTAAAAAAGTAGGTTATCTCTGTTTTTTGATTTATCTTTAAAAACATAAAATATTACAGTTTGAAATAATGCGAGCTTTAGAAGCGGTTAATCGAGGTCGTTTAGAATTGACCATTTGGACACATGAAGTTTGGAGAATTTTTGAACCTCAGATTGTTACAAAACTTTTGGAGGAGAAAGATTCATTGAAAATTCGTTTGAATTCTGCATCAGATTTGAAATTTTCACCTGAAACAGTATTCAAAAATGCTCTTTACTTTAAGGAGCACCGTACACCCCTTTTAAATACTGTATTACAGCTTAATAAATACGGTGATATATCACTACATTCACTCTATACGTTAGATATACCGTGTACTAAGATTACGCGGCTTAAATCGGTATAATATCATCAAAAATTATCAATAAATTTAAATATTTCATAGATTAAAGCAAAATATATATGCAGAAGATTACAAAATTATTATTAATTATGCCAGTGATTTCTGCGTAAAAATTTGCTTCAGTAAATTCTAGACTCATTTATTAAAAAAAGTAATTGTTAAAAAAATGAAAATCAAATTCTAGTAACTCTTATGTAATGTTTTCTAAATTTATTTCTGGCAATTTAATCCTTATGTACTTTTGAGTCTGACACTAATTTAAAACTGTTTAAAAAATTAGTGTCATTTAATTAAAGCGATGTTTAATTTGCTTTTTCTAATTAATTATTTAGTTTTTTTTAATTTGATTTTTGCAAATTAGAAAGTTTACATATTAAATTTATAGACATGCATAAAATATGAAGTATGTGGTATGCATATCGAAGAAGATCAGTACCAAAATAATGTATACGCAGTTTGTGAACTTTACTATGGAAGCATAACTCAAGAAAGTAATCAGATTCATCTTAATTGGGCATCTGAAGATTTTGGTGAACCCAATTTGTCATGCTCTGTTCAATCCTTACCAGGTTGTGTAATTACACGAATACGACCATCAAAAAAAGAAATTGTTAGTTTGTCTAATTATTGTGATTTAATATAAACTTAAAATTTCAATCTGTTATTCATAAACACAGAAATGTTTCAATTTAACAAACATCTGAATTACTGTCCTACCTATTATTTTATTGCTGGAATAATATTTTGCAATAAATGTTTAGTAAAGAATTTTCATTAATTTGCTTATCAGTGGTAGCTATTACTGCCTAAAATGTATCACTTTACCATTTAATCAAAACTTTTTACTAATTTATCTCTGATTAAAAAGTACAAAATTATTTTTTAAATGTATTTTTAATCGAAAATCACTTTATTACAATATAATTGAGCTCAATTTCACTTACTTTTTATAAGTTTACATTTGAATCACATCAAAATTGTTGCTAAATTTCAGACATTTCTTGGAGGACAGTATGATGAACTCGTGGCTTGCATCATTTTGAGTACACCTAAATCAAATTCTGCTATATTTTAACAATAGTATATTGTTGTTTTTCATATTGCTCGCTGTTATCTTTAAAAAATATTAAATTGCTAAGTTAATTTTAAAAATTTGTTCACATTGTCCAAATGGATCAATTGAAATAAACTGCGCCATTTTTCAAGCTGATAATTTTTGATTTAATCGCAATTTTTTTTAGATTGTTAGTCAATTTCAAAAATTATGAACGTGAATTTAAGTTTATAATTGAAAAATTACCATACGAAATGTAGCATTAGAGATTTTATGTTATTATTTTATTGGATTCAATGTAATCATTGTGTAATTCAATTTCTTGATAAAAAGTTCGGATTAATATGAGGCAAAATATTTATTTCACACCAAAGCTTATCATTTTTGTATTTATAACAAAAATACAAAAAAATAGACTTTCTTTTTCCTATTACTAAGTATTAAATATTACTAAATTGTATGAGCGAATTATTTTTATAGATGTCAAAGTTGACTAATTTGATGAGAAAGTGTTATAACTCGTTCGAATTTATATATTTTTGACAATTCTTCATTTGAAGAAAAAAGTTGATACTTAATTTATTTTGGAATAGAAATTCGTTGAGAAAAAGTCGAAATATTGAAAATATAAAAATCGTATTTATTTTAATGAAAAATATTTGATAAAAAGAATTAGATGAAATCAATTCTATTAATTATTTTGCATTCAAATAACTTAATAAATGTTCAACGTTTGATTTATTTCTTATTATTAAAATTATAAATATGTCATTTTCTTCATTGTTTCAATATTGCAATTATATTACTGTCAACATTATCAGATTTGTTTATGCAAAACTTTAACTCCATTTTGCATTTTCTGATTTACTGTTAATATTATCAATTTGATATCAAATTACTTCATTTTTCATAGCAAACAATTCTAGCTGACACTCCTCACTCTTTACTTCATATCATTTTCAGCAATAAATTTATTTAATCAACTAGTAAATAGACTAAAACTTTACTTCATTTTATTACTCAAAAGTTATCTATTTCTGACAAAAGTATACAATATAATATTGTGTACAAATTCGAACTAAAAATTAATTTTGGCTCATTTTTTCACTTTTATTTTCTCTTTTACTATTCAAATAGTCAACTTTGATGACATCAGTGATGATTATTTGCATATTAATATTATTTGTTTCACTTACTAATTCACAAATTACTACTCAAGAATTAGAAGATGAGAATGCACAAGGTAAGGCTTTTTTCTTCTTTAGTTTATAAATAATCAACTTATAATATAGATTATGAATATAAATTAAATTTAAAATACATAATTTAATGAATTACAAGAAAAATAATTTTCGCATCATAACAATATTTTAGCGGATTATTTTTTAGACTCCTTTCGTCTCATTTATTTAATTGCTTTTGCTTATATACTCAATAAGTTATAAAAGTCATGATTTTGTAACAAAATCATTTTAATATTAAAATATAAAGCAATGTTAGCAAGAAGCATTTTAATATTATAACCGTTAAAATGATTACTTTAAATTTTGATACGTTAACTAATCACTTTTGGATTTATGCTTAGCTTATTAATTATTGTCAGTTGAAACTAATTACTACAAAACCAGTAAATGAATCAAACAAAATATTTTTCAATAATTATTCAAATCACTAAAATTATTTTTATTTTTTAATAAGTGAATTATTGTTTTTAAAACTGAAAAGAGCAACATTTTATCGATAAAAGTTGAAAACATTATTGTATCAAAGTGTAAAACAAATGCGAATACGACTTTTTTTGGATTACCTCTAATTAAAAAAACTAATTGTGGAATAAACGTTTCATTCATCTTCTACACAAATGCATGATTTTACGCTGAAGAAATTATTAAATTATTTTTTGAATACACTTATTCAATTAAGCATTATCACTTTCTTTGCAATTAAAATTTGTAATAATTTAAATATCAAACTTTATATTAAAAAAAAACTAAAACATGTTAGTTTTCGTTGTAGATCAAAACTTTTAATGTCACGACTTTTACTAATTTTTACTTCAAATCCTTATCAAATCAGTGCTTCTGAACCATCTGATTACTAATGTAATGTTTGATATCAATTTTTTTTAGAAATAGCTAATAGAACTTACGTTGAAGAACAAACAGAATTGCAACGTACTATTTTAAATAAGTATGACAAGCGTTTACGTCCTATTGTGAATGCTTCTGAACCATTAGACGTTTCAGTCCACGTCTACATTATGCATATTTCTGTAAATCAAATAGAGCAAACAGTTACATTGAATGGACATATATATATGGTTTGTAATTTAAACTAATTCTTAAACGTAAGAGTATAAGTGAAATCAGTTTACTACTTGTGAAAGTTGACCATATTGATATTTTTGATTTGAATGATTAAATTTATCTGATAAAACAAAGTAATTCGCTGAAACATGCTATTGCAAAAATGTATAACTAAAAATTTGAAAATGTTTTAAAATATTAGACGTGGAGAGATGAATACGCTGTTTGGGAGCCTAGCGAGCATAATGGCGTTCGAATAACAATGGTCAAGCAATGGGAAATATGGACACCAGAATTAAAAATCACAAATAGGTATAAAGTTTTGAAGTATAAAATTTTGAAGTACAAAATTTTAAATATAAAATATTGCATAAATTCAATTACTCCAGCAGTAATTTTAGTAAAAAGTTGTGAGTTAAAAATATGTAAATTTTAGAGTAGTATTATCAGCTATGCAAGCGCTGCTTCATCATATCTATGACATAATTCGAAAATGACATAATTGATGACGTAATTTTTAAATTTGTTTTGTTATTATCATTATATAATTCTGAAAATTAATTGTGATTTCAATTTCAGTGTTTCTGGTGTAGGACAGTTTTTTGAAATTTCAAAACGATCACATGTGATTATCCACTCAAATGGTAAAGCTGTAAGTTTTTCAGTTTATATTTTTCATTAATTTAAACAATTTGATATACTAAGCATATGTAATTATTATTATTACTTTTTTTTTGTAATTCTAAACTGATAAAAATCAAATTTATTTAATTTGCATATCAAAAATTATTCAACTAAATATTACTGAACAATATTATGTTGATTAAATTGCTATTATTGTTATAGCAACGATTATTTTAATGAATATAAAAATGATCTTTATCCTTTCAAATAATAACAACAATAATAAAAGCAGCAATAATAACATTATCATACTTATTATTATTAATTCTTATTAATTACTGTTGTTATTAATTATTTATTTATCTACACGACTTGTTTTTTTCATTACATTTATCACTTTTGCCATCCTTTCCTTCTGAAGAATAATCTACTAATTCTGAAAAAATGCTTTGCTCTTGCACACGCAAGTATGAAATCTTTTAAATTTTCATCATATCTTTTCAAATTTTGGGCATCAGATTCAATCAAAATGATACTTTTTGCTTAATTTTCCTTACACGCGATAAAAAAATTTTGGCTTTTAAAATAAAAAAGTCCATCTCAAAATAGAAAAAATTTAATTAGCTTCCCTCTACTTCTAGTTTTTTAAGTAATATAAATTATTAATTAGCAATACTTGATTATCTATATTACTTGAAAATTGAAACAAAAACTAAAATATATAATTCAAAAATTTATTATAACACAAATAATCAAATATTCAAGTATTTGAATGAGTACAAGTAAAAATAAATGTTTTAGTGGAGTAGAATTGAAATTTATCCGACATTTTCAATCAAAGTTGGCTGTGCATTTGATTTTTCTGCTTATCCTTTTGATATTCAAACTTGTCCACTTGGTATTTATACAAGTAATCGGATGAGCGAAGTCCAACTTTCTGTTTATCACAATATGGAACCTACTGTTTTGCTTGGTTTCTTGTATTTTATCAGTTATTTATTAATTTCTGATTCAATATTGTTTTATTGCTATAATCTATGAAAATTTATACATTACATTTGAATTAACAGAAAAGAAAAACAGTGCTAAGGACTAAGAAGCATTTATTTTGTCTTTTATTCACACAAAAATAATAACTGTATAATTTTGATAACAAATTTTAGGTTGGGGGGCGCAATCAGATAAAAAACATATTAGTGATTGGAAAATTGATTCAATTACTGCAAATATTAGCTATTTTAGCGGAGGTAAATACAAGAATAAACGACCTGTTGATGCTGAAGAGTTAGATATAACCTGGTTTGTGTTTAAGCTTTGTTTTGCATTTCTTAATTAGCTGAAATTCAAAAATTATTAATTTTGCTATGTATTTTATGCTTTGTTTTTATTTTCATTTTTTACTTTCTTTTGCTGAGAGATTGCTTTCATAAAAATTATCAAATGATTGAATCAAAAATTAAAATGAATTATTTTCACTTTTTAATAAAAATTTTCAGTGTTAAATTAGCTAAGTACTGAAATTGAATTTCATAAATAAATGCTTCTCTGATTATTTGTTTCAAAATTATTATGCTTAAAATTTTATTTTACAAATTAGCTTATAATAAAATTTCATTCTCAACTCTGAAATTTCTAACTTACTCTCTTGCCAATTCATTAAATTTAACACTGAAAACCTTTATTAAAAAGTGAAGATAATTCAAAGTTTAATATACTTTCATACTCTTCAAATATAAAGTTTTAATAGCTATAATCTAAACTTTTTCACTGAATGTTACTGGGATTGAACATGAATTGATCTGACGAATCTCTGTTGTGATAGTAGTCTGAATTACTTTGCACAAATTAGATATCCAAATTTGTAACGATAGATCAGAGCAATATCACTTTTAATAATTAATAATGCAAGCTTCAAAAACTTTGAATAATATCTTAATTAAAAATATGCAAATGATAAAAACATCCTCATGAATAAAAGCAATAGAATTATATGTTTATAATTTAGGCTGTCATTAAAAAAAATATTACTCTAGCTCAAAAAAATTAATAATAATAATAATAATAGTAATAAATAATAAAGTGTCAGTTGCAATTATTTTTTCAGTATAAACTAATTTATACGTTTTTTGAAAAAATTTTTCTGGCAATTCTGAAATTGGCTGTATTTCAGGTCTGTTCTCTACACATGGCTGACTTTACATCGAAATGTGTTTTGTTTCCCACTTGCAATGCTCTTACCAATTTTGATCTCTTATATGCTTGTTATGTCTTCATTCCTTTTGCCAACTCCAGATTTTGCTATTTATATATTACTTGCTAATTTATTCTTTATGGGAATATTTCTCGAAGATGTAATAGTATTGATTCCCCCAGCTATTGGGAAATCACCGAAAATTGGTAATTTTTCTTGCAAACAAAAATAATTGTATGATTAAGCTTAATTCAGACATGCAAATAGAGTAAAATAACTAAAGAAGAAAAAACTTGTGATTACAAATGCTTGAAATTGTGTAATGAAAATAAAAATTAATAATTTGGTTTTTTAGACTTCACTTTAAGAAGCAAAAATAAAAGTTATTAAATCAATTCAGTTGATTTATTAATTCTTTCTTTGCAAGCATTTAAAAATTAAGTGAATAGCTGAAGAAATGCTGCCATTTTATTCTTATATTCCTTGCAATAATTTTAAATCATTGAATTAAAACATAATTTTTGATGATAATAGAAAATATCGATTTCGTTTTAAAATTTGAAAGTAATTACAAATTTAAATCGAATATTAATTCCTTTTTAAATTGTAGTTTGGATTGCTAGCATCAACTTGGTGCTTACTTCCATAACAATTTTTGTACATCTTTTGTTACGATATTTGCTGGGAAGGAAAGATAGTGTAACAAGATGGTACCACTTGGTATTGTATACTGATTTAGTTCTACCAAAACGGTGGCGTACTATTATTCTTGATGATAGTGATGTGGAAACTGGAAGAGGTCATTTTATTTTGATAATTTTTAAGTTAAAAAGTCAAAATAAGGAATGAATCGCAATATACATACAAATAAGCATAATTAGAAAAACCTGAAATGTTTTTTAAAAATTAATATCATCAACAAAAAGCACTTCTATACTTTTATCAACTGTGAGTAAATAATTAAAAAAAGCACTTTTTTGAACTGAATGTTTACTTATTTTCAGTTTTGCTGAAGCAAAAAAAGTTAATTTGAATAAAATTATTTGCTTAACTTTGTTATTCTTGAGTAATATGCAAATTCTGAGTGCAAATAAATAGAAATTAAATAAGAAAAAGTAATTTAAAAAAATAACTTTCTTGTTTAATGGATTAAATGATGATATTATAGATTGGCATCTTCTAATACTTTTGTACTCAATTTTTTCAAATACTAAAAGTTATAATCGATTGATTAGCTGATTAAAGATGTATATTTATTATAATAAATTGTTGGCTAAAGAAAAGTGAAGTTGAAATAATTATGTAAAATTTTACTTTCAGATAAGCAAAGCACTGCTTGGAACAGCATAGTAAACCACATACGAATCATTTTGCTTTTTATTTATTTTTGCATATTTTTTGTCTCACTCATATATGTATTCATTTAAATAAACAACTAAAAATAGGCCAAAAACAATTTTATTATTAACAAATTTACTTTACCAGATAAAACTTAATAATCTGTTCACTTTATTTGGTGAAAAATGAACAATTTATTCACATTGTTTGCTTATTTGTAATGTATTCAATCTAACAATTTAACTTAGAAAATTTTGTAATATACTATTGTATTTTTAAAACTTTTGATGTATTATTTGCAAATTTTTTCAATTTCTACGATTTTTCATTATTTTATCTACGATTTCCTGCATTGTCACTAGATTTGTTAAAAATATTGAATTTTTAACAAATTAGTAGCACAAATATAAAATGGAAAATGCAATGCACAGTTTATTGTATATTTTATTTTTGTTCATAAATTTGTCGACAATAAAAAATAAGCATAAATGTTTGGTTAAAAAAATTGCTATGATTGATATGTTTGGCAAAATTTGATTTTTTCAATAAACAATTCAAAAGTTAAAGAAAAAATGAAACTTACAAAGTTGGCACTGATTAAGAAATTTGTGAATATAAAGCAGAAATATGACGTGAAACTGTAAACAGCAGAAGTAGACTGTATTCAGTGATATAAAATGAACTGCAATGGAAGAAGTATCATTCTTCTTTGAATATTTTACATATGAATGCTCATACACTTTTTCGTGGGTGTACACAATTTGTTTCCATATTTTGCGTGTATTTACGTATGTACGTGTGTATACAAGCTTACCTTAATGCATATTATTAATGGATGTATGTGTTCACTGCAATGAAGTGAACAGCTGGATAGTGGCTGCTTCTCGTAAAAAAAAAAATAAAAGTATATTGAGAACAATTTGATAATAAAAAACAATCGCTCATAAAATCTTCTAAATTCTGTTTTGTTACTCTCAGAAAATAACTTTCGTAAATTTTTCAGATGTAAAATTTAATAAAGTTGGCATTTTTTATTTCTAAGACAGATTGTCTTTCGTAGATCATTTTTTGTGCTGTTGGCTTTGCATCATTAAAGGATTTTTTTTTTTAATGTTTTCAATTTGTTGAATAATATTAGAGAGATTATTCACAACTTTAAGCTTTAGTTCAAATTACCCAACTTGTAAAGTTACTCAAATGAATTTTAACTTTGAGTTTCTTTTATAAAAAGAACAAATTTTAATCAGTAGAAAATCAAAATTGAAAAAGTGAGCAAAAATGAATGAAGCATTTTTTTCTTTTACATATTTTATCTTGTTTATTTTCTCACTTACTAATTTCTACTTTACATGAAAAATTTATTTGGCAAGAAATCATTTCAATCCATCAAATAAAAATTAAAATTATGTATGATTTCTATGCTTAAAATTGTCGACTATGCAAAACTCATTTATCAAATACAACTAAACTTATAACAATTATGTTTTATATTCAGTTCTGATTATGGAATGATAATCTTGTCAATTGAGTAATAATTGGGCAGGATAATAATTAGAGCAGTGTTCACACAATTGTTTTGCATGTTTTTTAAACAGCTCCTTCAGTAAATTAATAACTCATCAATATATATATATATATATATATATATATATAT